GTTGCCGGCGCTGAGTGGACGACTAGTCACACGCCTGTTACATTGCGACTATGCCGAACACCTCAGGCAGGCAAATTGCCTGGTACTAAACGACAATATATCAGAGTAATATTATAGACGACAGTTAGGGTTTAGGCGGTGCGGATAAGCAGCAATTGGATTGTGATATGAGATCTAGTGAATAAACATATCGCAACCAAGTGCTGCCCACCGCAAACTACCGCTCCAACTAAATCTCGACGTCTTCGCAAATGCAAGTTGCTTGCGCTGTGTGTACGACTAGTCACAGGCATATAATTCTGTGAGACCAAGCCGAACACAGCAGGCATGCCACTAGCCCTAGCGGAGCAAAAACCTTCCAAGAGCAGAAACATACAAACGTACCGACAGTAAACAAACCATAAAACTGAGCTCCGATCCGCCTTCTGTCAGCTTAAAAACTTTTCAGTCCAGGGGCGTCTTCAGAAAAAAGACCACAGATGACCGCCCATTAAGGTTTCACACCTCACCTAGTGGGTCATCGAACTCTCTCTGGAGGCACCAACAATTCAATAATTTATAGACTTCTCAAAAGATTATACAACGACACAATACACTCAAAGTTCTACGATTATCACTAAAACTATGCTCCAGAGCAGAATCCTAAATAGTCAAAATTATTATGCCGCTTATAATATTTCAATGGGCCCACAAATAGGAACTTAAAGAACCGTTATCTAGCGAAAGAAAAAAAAAAAAAAAGCTGTGGGAAAACGACTTAAAAACCATAGTATCAAAACCACCGAGTTTTTTTTACCACTTTGTTTCTGCATTACGCTTTTTTAATTCAGTTGAGACCTATTAAATGTTGAGTTTCAGATACATTTCTGTACTCTAAATAACTACTCAAAAAAATCTCAAAGTTGAGAAAAAAACAACAACTAAAGCGCAAAACAATTACCGTTGTGTCTTGTTTTCCGGTCTCCTACATATAAATACATTCATCTGGAAACTGATCACAAAAGTATAATTTAATTACGGGCACTTTTTACGAGTTGACGACGTAGACAGTAATCAAATTGAAATTTCCCTTACACTTCTTATTTCAAGAACTATGTATCCATCCAGTGGCACTGAATGGTATAAATGTATCCATAAACGAGTTTCACTATCCCTTGCAAGAAGTGAAAATGTCTCTGGACCGTTACTATAAACAAAAGCTCAGTCAAAAGCAAAATACTTCTCTACACTCTGCCATACTCTTATCTTAAAAAATACTCGCTGATGCTGCGTTGAAACGTCTCTACTACATCAACGACCAGTTGCCCAAGCTTACTTCATTGGGCTGCTCTATAAACGTTAAGGATACCAAACAATAGCTTTATGTGATATTCCTCACACCCCAAAACATCCTAACTAGTATTAATTTTCCAAAAAGAAGAAAAAATTTAAAAAATTTTGGTTCCTTACACTGTCTGCTATTGCTTCCTCAGAGTAACTGGGAATCAGCAGTTTAACACTGTCGACTGTAGAAAAAATGAAAAGTGAACAATCTTTTGAAAAATCAAAATTGAAAAAATCAAAAAAATCAAAATGTTCATAAATCCAAAAGAAATAAGAAAAAAAAGGAACCTTGGAAAACTGAAGTTTCGGTGTTCACTGGTGATGACGAGCCTATCGTTGTATTGAAGTGGGACACACGTTCTTCTAAATGACCATCTACACATGACAAAATGAACCTTGATAACCGTCCGCAGGGGAAATAGCGCCCATTAACGCCTTAATATGACGTGTGACCCAGACATTGCAAAAAGTTGCACCTGATTATAACTTGCCATGGATTCAAATGCAACTCCACATAAGCCGCAGTGCTTTTCTGTACCCTCAGCGGCATCGCTCTGAAATGATCGAGTGACTACTGTATTCACTGTTGCACTGGGCTATCAAATATGATTGGCAACAGGAATTACAAGAAGTTCTAATTACTCGGTACTTTTGCCACAAAATAATTGTTGCTTATGAGGAAATGCAATAAAACAGATGTAGAATTCAAGGTTTCTTCAAGGTTTCTAAATTACCATTCATTTCGGATTCAACTCTCCAAATCGCATGGAAAAAGTGAGAGGAATGCTTAATTCTCACTAGCATTCGTTTACCTATACAGCTTTACAATCTAGAAACAAACATCTCAATTACGGTTTAAAGTTGTCTACTGAACGCGCGACTTTGCAGAGTACGTTGAGCTTAATAAAGTTCGGTAAGGTGCATTTGCAACGGAAAGTTCCACCTATGGTTCATCAACGTATGGGGAACCGAAAGCCTTTCAACTGATTTTACCGGTTGTGAACAGCGAAAAGCACACTACTTCCGTAGAAGTTATAAGCGAACAAGCTTATTTCTGGTATAACTTCGACCATGACGCTTTTATTACTTACGCTTTACTTGATCTAACGGCGGTAGTCTAGCGACCAAATCACACTTCTTTTCTCTAGATTCAACCTTTCAGTCGACTTAAGATAACGACCTTCATTGCAGCAGGTGCTAATCATCTCATATTTGATAAGTTCCTACTGCTACAAGCGCAGAACCATTGTTACGCTGCACTCGTATATGGCTAAACATAAATCAGAAAACGGTTAAGGACAGACCACCGAAAGCGTCATGCAAGTATTACTAATGACCAAATTTTACTTCAGTCCCTATGCTACTCTCACAAAT